ATATATTATAGAATATATATTATATATTTAATATGACATATAAAAAAAATATTTTTTTATATACTATATATTTTATATAATATATATTTTTATTATATATCATATATTATACATTACAAAAAATATGTTTTTATTACTATATATTAGATGATCTACATATGAAAAACTATATTTATATATGTATGTATGTATGTATATATTATATATATATATATGAGTGCATATGTCGCAACATATGTCACGTGTCTGCAGTGAACAAGCTTGTGAGCTTGTGAGACCACTGACGTGGTTCATCTTGTTTGCAGCAGTGTGCTGCTGCACCACTTGAAAGCTGCTGCTCCCTTCAAACTCTGCAGCAGTTTGACGGAGTGGGCCCCTTCCTCAAATTTTTCTTCTTGTGATTTGCAGGTGGTCGCGCTTGTTGTGGTTGTGTGCATGGGGCTCCTTTCTTGCTCACGCGGATTCTTCCGTATCTGGTGGGAGTAAGTCGGGATTCTTGGGTTGGGTTTCTTCATGAGTTGTCAAGTGCTGCCACAAGTTTCAGCTTCAGGCTTCGCTCATACTTTCATTTTAGATGGTCGCCCCTTCCTTTTCTACGAGGGGTTCACAGTGGTATCCTGTCCATTCGGGGGCTGTCGGCACCAGAACAAAGCTAGTTAGTGCGTGATTTTCAGGTCAATGTCTACAAGTCCTGTTTTCTGACTTTTCGGGTAGGATTCCCTCCGTTCTGCATTCATCGGTTGTTTATGGCAAGGGTGGGGGCCCTCATGGCGGCCGCTGCCGTCTTGAAGTGTTTGGCTGAGTGCGGCTTCTGTGCCTCTCTCGATTACACTAAGTGCTTCGATCTGCTTAGAGCTGAAGTTTCCACTGCGTTGCTCGAGAGGGTTGGCTTTGTTGGTCGCATGAATGCATTCTGTGGTTGCCTGTGGAGTCGTCATGTGAGGTGGCAGTCGTGGAATGGTCACGTTGGTGTCGCTCTGTTGCGTGCTCCTTTGGCGTTGCCGCAAGGCGATCCGTTTGGGCCGTTGATTTGGTTTGGTTGAGCGCGGGTGCGCGTTTTCTTGAAAGGACGTTACCTAGGTGTCATGTCTTTTTTTATGGATGATTGTACATTCACTGCTGGTGAGCCGGGATTTTTGCGTGCTAAGTATGATGCTTGGACTGTTTGGTCGCGTGGCGCCGGTTTGGTTGAGTCGGGGGACAAAGCCCAGTTTGCTGGGGCGAAGAAGGCTCTTCGTCCGTACCTCGATGATGAGGACACTTTGTGCTCCAACGTTCTCTTTCTTGGGGTTGTGAGTCGTGGTAAGCCTCGTTCCAATCACCACAAAGAAACCGAGAGGGTTGCTGTTGCTCCCGAGCGTCTTCGGATTCTTGGCTCCATGCGCTTGAGCACCGAGGTCTTGGGCAGGTATGCCAACATGGCCAACATGTTCGGTCTTGGTGTTGTGTCGTACGGTTGGATTGCTCCTACATGGGGTGTCAGCAACAAGCTTTGGGCGGCCGTTAAGTGGGCGCAGAAAGTTGCATGGATGAGCTACAAGTGGTTGCGTGCTGTTGTCCTTGTTGGTAACAGTCATGTTGATGTGCTCAGTGCTTGTGGCTTGTTTCGCATTCTTTATCAGCTTCGTCGATCAGGCAGCTGTGTTTGGAATGATGTGCCGCTGCCTTACACTCCTTTGTGGACTTTCCGCAAGTGGTTGAAAGAGCGTGGTTGGAATGAAGTTGCTCCCTGGTCTTGGGAAAGGCAGGGGTTTCGCCTTTGCAGAGGCAGCTTCATAATCTTCGATCCCGTTGGCGTGAGTACTGTTGGAGTCGTTTTATGTCGTCTGGTCGGCATGAGGCTGCGGACGCTGGAAACGTCGACATTCAGGCTGTTCGCCGTTGTGATTTGGTTGCAGGACCGTTGCTTTGGTTCCAAACGGCGCATTTGTTCAGCGACCGTTGTTTGTGGTGCGATGCTTTAGGCACTTGGCATCACATGTGTTGGGAGTGCCAAGCTAGTCCCCGATCCCGCGCTGCAGGCTTCTTCGGCGTTGGGGTTGGGGTAGCAAGATGCGATGCGGACAAGGTCCTTCCCTACCTCGCGCAGGTTCAGACGTATCTGTGGCGGGGTAGGTGGGGATCTTAGCTTGGTCGCTTTGGTCGCGTTTGCTAGGTTTTTGTTTATGCTTCCTTCTTGCCCGCCTTGGCTCCTTCGGGGCAGGCGTGGGTGAGTGGAGGCTTTTGTTGGTTGCCCTTTGGCTTGGTTGCTGCGCGGTCGCTTTATAAGGTTTCTTTCTCGCCCACCCTGGCTCCTCCGTGCCAGGTATGGGTGAGTAGAGGCCTTTTTGGGTTACCCGTTTGGCTTGGCCGTTTTCCGTGCTGGTCATGCGCATGAGTTGTAAAGTGTTGTCTCAAGCTCTGTGCGATAAGCAGCGCTTCTGCACTCATGTCAGATGGTTGCCCCTCCTTTTGAAACGAGGGTTTGTGAGGTGTCCTGTCCGTTTGGGGGCTGCTGGCACCGGAACAAAGTTAGTCAGTTTGATTTTTCAGGTAACAGCTGTCTTCTGCCAAGCAGCTATTGACAGCGCTCAGCAAGATCAAGCCTCCGTGATCCAGTCCATCTTGGAGAACAAGGAGATTACTAATTATAAGGCTTGCCACGGTTGATGTTATACAGAAATTCCTGCAGGAAATGCACCTGGACAAGATCCGCACTCTTTTCAGCCAGTTCGGTGGGGAGGACTTCTGCAGTTCCAGCCGAATTGTGTAAACGTATAAGGTTTGTATTTTGGGTTTAGTGAGGAGATATGTCTCATCAGTCTGCAATTTGCGCTTCGCTCGTACGAGCACGATTCGTGCCCGGAGGACTGTAATACCATCACATTCGCCATGTACCTGGGCTCCAACGTGATAGGTGGATGTCAGTGTATGTCTTGCAATGTGCCGGCCGCTGCGGGGGATTGTAAGCATTTGGCCGCGCGTTGAACACATCTGCTCTTGCCAGTGCTAAAGTTACCGAGCCGGCGTCCCTGACAACGGCCATCACTCGGATAGTTCGGCCTTAGCTTCGCTAAGTTTGATGTGCCGTGTAGTAGAGCGCGAGGAAGTGCAAGCGGCTATATCCGATATGCCATGTGCTGCAGTGACGGGTGTCGTGAAGATCATATAGAACTACCTTTTCAATAAAGTGCTGCAAGACTGTGGGGGGATCCAGGGCTCCATCTCAAAGGTGCAAAGCCATTACCCAACTGAGGTTCGAGTCGACCATTCAGGAGCCCAAGGTCAGAGAGTACTTCGAGTCTCTCGGGCTCGATATTTGGGATGCATGGAGCTTCTTCAAGATGTTGGACTCTTGCCTTAATTGAAGCTTCTTCGCCATCGGATTCTGTAAGCTTCAGAGACAGGCCCCGCATGGATGGAAGTACTGTATAAGTAGTCAGCCACGCATTCTCATCGGTACTCGTATTGAAGTGGATTCGAATCTGTACATGTACACACACACATACGTTTACCAAAACGACACATGCTTATGCAAAAGTCAAAAGCACGTGAACACACACACACACAAAAATCTCCGTAGTACTGTAGATGTAGGGTTGGCAAACAAGAGCACGCAATGACATGTACACCCATGCACGCAGACAAGTAAGCAAGCAGGTATAGGCAAGCAAACGAGTATTTGCCAGGCAAGCCAAATGTGTTTATGTATGTCCGAATGTATGTGGACACGTGTGTATCCGTCTATGCATATACGTATACATGTAGGTGTATGTACGCGTGGATGTGCGGATGTCTGGGTGTATGCATGTATGCATGCATGTATGTATGTATGTGTACACATGTATGTGCGTATGTATGTAAGGATGGATGTATGCATTACTGTAATGCATTTATGTACGTATGTGTTTATGTGTGTATGTATGTCTGTATGCATGTATGTATGTATGTATGTATGTACGCACATGTGTGTGTTCGCACGGAAATGTTTGGTTGTTGTCGGTATGTATGTATGTACGTATGTATACACACAGATATATATATATATCTGTGTGTGTGTATGCGTGTGTGTATGCACTTCTGCATGTATGTATGTATGTATGTATGTATGTATGTGTGTGGTTCTCCCATTACCTCGCCTGCTCTGCCGAGTGCGAGTGCTAAAAATGTATGTGTGTGTGTATGTATGTATGTATGTATGTATGTGTGTGTGTATGTATGTATGTATGTATGTATGTATGTATGTATGCATTGACCCGGGAAACTTGGTCCCGGTTTCGTCCGCCCCCTGAAGCCAAAATTCCGAAGCTTTTGAAGTCGAAATTGCGCGCCAGGAGCTGAAGCTCAAATTGTGCGCGA